TGTTCATCAGAACTGGCTTCCCTAATTAGCGACAACTTTATAGTTTTAAAGTATTACTATAGACCTAAAATAACAGCAAATGCATAACAACTTCTTAGTGGTACGTTGAAGGGTATTGTTCAATGGCCGTGATTATTCAAGCTTTGACATCCAGTTAGAAGAGAGAGAAAAGACCAGTCTAAGGACATTGTTTGCAAAGCACCCTATGCTTTTATTTCCGTTGCATAGGGTGGAATAGACAGTAATTACAGATAGACATGACCAAAGGTTTCACATTTTGTGCTTCTCTTTAGTCACTCCATAACATCAGGGCACAATCACTCTTCATTTACGATTTTTGTGTGAACCTCGCGGCTCTTCACCCGCAGCTTGTTGACCTGGGACTCGGCGATGTCAGCCCGCTCCTCGGCCTCTTCCAGCTCATGCTGGAGCTTGCGGAATTTAGATAGATTTGTATTGGATTGTTCCTCCTGAGAATAAAAATGGAATTGTGAGGAACCCATACTGTGCATCTTTCTAGACTGTATAAGCCTGAGGGGAGAACAGACTTGGCATCTACTAAAAAAAAAAAAAGGTTTTTTTTAAAGAGAGAAACATCCATGTGAGAGCAGAACATCTAACAGCTGCCTCCTGCATGCCCCCTACTGGGGATTGAGCTCACAACCCATTGTGTGCCTTCACCAAGAATCCAACCGGCAACCTTTTCGTGCATGAAACAATGTCCAGCAAACTGAGTCACACTGACCAGAGCAAGGATGAATTTCTCTCTCTCTTTTTTATTAACTCTCACCCAAGGATATTTTTCCATTGATTTTTAGAGAGATTGGAAGGGAGGGGGAGAGACAGAGAGAAACATAAATGTGAGAGAGACACATTGGTTGCCTTCTGCATGTGCCCCAACCAGGACCAGGATTGAGCCTACAACCGAGGTACGTGCCCTTGATGGACACTCTATCCACTGAGCCAAACCAGCTAGGGCAAGGATGAATTTCTTAATAGTTTCTTTAACTTAAAAAAAATGTTTAATTTCAGGATATATTATTTTGTCACATTTTAATACAATCGCTCACTTTTTTTTCTCCTTGTCTGGATGTAATGATTCTATTGAGAGATTTCCCTAATATTAAATATTCCGTGCATTATAAGAATTGAACCTATTTAATCACTAATGGACAATATCCTGAATAAAGTAAGAGTTTTAGCCTTGCTGTCATGGCTCAGTGATTGAGTGTTGACCTATGAACCAGGAGGCCGCCTTT